TAAGACCAATCTAGCATGGAAAGCGAAGTGAAATGATCTAGACTAGAAATATGGCTACTAGGAGGACCTAGCTAGGAGAGACTGGGTGACATGTATCCTATGTGGAAAGGAGGTTCTTGGAGGCATAAAGAGGTTCAAGCAACAATTGTTTGGTGGATATGGAGACGTTGTCATTTTTCCAAATTTTAGCACTAAAATCAGTAAAGAGATGAAGCTAACTTGAAAAGGAAGAGAAGGCCTTTGTTCTTGGATGATGTTGAGGAGGATGGCGGGGAAGATAAAGTTGTGGAGCTAGCAGCACCTGATGTACAAGCAACAACACATGGGGTTGCAACACCACTTGTTGCTTCAAAAAAGCCAAGTCTTGGTACAAATTACAATCACCAAGAGAAGGCATTCTACCTATGAATCCAAGGCTTCAACACCTAGCAATGTCAATTGAACACCAAAGACACCAAAGGAAACAAAGTCAGTTTTTGCTATGCTTAGAAGAACACCTGAATAGATAGTAGATCAAAGACATGAGAAGGACTTTCAACCCATCATTCAGTCTAGCTCAAAGACTAAGGAGGAGAAGCAATATGTGGATCTGCGATGGGCACTATGGTTCATGGAGGTGGTGTATCCTTTAATGCAGGAAATTCAAGGCAAATTGGAATTGCTTGTGAGGCAACAATCCAATATGGTTCAGGGTACACTAATGTTAGATGGATGGACTGATATGAGAGGGCACCACTTGATTAATTTCCTTGTGAACAGCCCTGAGGGAACATACTTTTTGGAGTTAGTTGATGCATCAAGTCAAGATCATAGTGCAACAAATGTTAACTAATTTGTCATAGGAGGAGATTGAGGACATTGGATGGGACAATGTTGTTCAAATGTGACTGATAATGGCACTAACTACAAGGCTGCTGGTAAAATTTTGATGCATAGGATTCCCACACTGTTTTGGAGTCCTTGTGCTGCACATTGCTTGAATATGATGTTGGAAGAAATAGGGAACTTCAAGGCATCTAAGAAACCTATTGCACGTGCGAGGCATGTCACCACATTCATTTAATTTATTGGCATGGGGGCTCCTTGGTGCAATGATGGCTCAAACATACCGATGCGGAATGAACTTGTTAGGGCAGCAAAGACTCGATTTACCACATCATTTCTAACATTGAAGAGTTTGTACAAGAACAAGGATGCTTTGAAGAGTTAGTTTGTTAGTGAAACATGGCTTGGGAACAACTTGTGTACAACTACAACTGGTCAACAAGTGCTAGACATTGTGCTATCTATTGAGTTTTGGAACTATCTACTGAGTTTTGGAACTCCGTAGAAGATTGCTTAAGAGCTTCAGGCCTGGCCCACTCTTAATTTTTGAGGGTTGTTGATGGTGATGAGAAGCCCACAATGCCAAAGGTCAGAGCTCTAATGAAACATGCAAAAGAGAGGATAAAGCTGAGCTTCAATATACCAACCAAGCAGGTCATGCTCAAGCGTACAATGGGTATTATTGAGTGGAGTTGGGTGAACCAAATGGATCATCAACTGTATGGAGCTGCACTTGGGCATCAAAATTGTTAGTGATGGTGGGTTTAATTGCATGTGGTAGTGCATTGCTGAGGTGGACAGCTTGCATGTTAAGAAACAATACTAGTGGGGGTCTAGGATTATAAGAGATATAGATAAGTGATTGTAGGCAGTATCAATGAGCATTTCCATGCATTAATAAAGTCTAAATATTGTCTGATGGTCGCGTGTTGGAGTCCCCAAAATAAAACATCAGGCTGACATTTAGCATTACACGTGCTACGTTTATCTCCACGTACTCGCGGGTTATGGTACTGTCACGTCACTTTTCAGATGACAGGAAGGGAACACGACAGTTGGCACCGTGTTCATTAAGCTAATAAGCTAATTACTCGTTCACAATTTGGGTTGTGTGTTGCATTTCTGTCGGTGTTCTTCTGTGACAGACAAGCTTTAATGAATGAAATATGCTAATAGCATTTAGAGTTTGAGACGACACTTTGTTTTCTTATTAAGTGCGAGCTGATGAACTGTTAACATGCTCATTTAATTGCATGCTGATGATGCATTGCCAAGGATCTAGTGAAAGGGTGCTGTTACTGTTACTGTGTTCAGAAGCAATCATTACTGTTCGCTGGCTGCTGCTCACCAATCAACACTCAACAGTGCCAATGCGGCTGAAAAAGATCATGAAACCGAATGGAGACAGGTACATTATATATCTATCTACCTCGCACTATGCGCTGAAAACACTGTGCACTACGTTTATCACTACTGCACTCTCACTCTGTCTCTGAGCGATGAATAAGCGGGGTTCTTCGCAATTGCATGACATTGCTGCAGCAGCAGCAGCACTGGTGGGTGGTGGCACTGCACACTGCTGCTGCCGATCGATCGATTTTAGGGCTCTCCCAACTCCCAACAATGCACGCCGTCCGCCATCGATGCCCGTGCTGACTGCGGTGAACCGTGGACGTACGCCGGCGGCCGCGCGCCGGAGTGCGTCGTCCGGAAATGATTCTGGCGTAGAACGGGCACTTGGGATGACGGCTGCATCATGCATCGTCAAGAAATAATATAGTGAAGGGGGCAGAACGAGGGCACGTACTGTCGCATAGGGCACTGTGTTGGCTTGTCCGGCTTGCGGCTCTGCAGGTGTGGCACCTCGCGTCTTCGTGTCTCTAGCCTCCGTCGGACACGAGGCCGGCCGGCTCAACCATGCCCATGCACATGTTGCCAGCATATGTCCAATGTTACTCACTGTGTACCAAGTAATGGTCCCAATAATACTAAACTTTTTCTTTATCATGAGAGCTATAAGTGAATAGTGATGATGATATCATAGCTATATTCGTATGCTATAGTATTGCCCTGATCCAATTATGCCATATAAAGTTTAGTCTCTAATTCTAGGTGTGACACGAAAGAGAGCGCTCGAGCCACTAGTGAAGTAAAAGAAGATTGTTTCCTTTGACAAGCACACAACCATTATATTGACACAATTGAAATAGCTCAAGAATACTAGTCCATAAACAATGGTTGTGTGCTTGTAATGGGAACACCAACTAAGACCATACATGTACCCATATTAATTCCATAGAGTTCACCTGCTAAAACATTCATACCATGTTTATTAAAAAAACATCATACTATGAGTACAAGGTACTGCAATGTTGTCTACTCTCTCCGTCCCCAAAAAAAATATTATTTTTTGCTATGAATCTGAATAACACTCTGTTTAAGATAGAGGAAGTAAGTATATGACAACACTTGTTTCCTAGTTTATAAGCTATGGGCTTTGGCATTTTTGGAATGATGGGATGGGTTTATATGGGCTAAATTGTTCAGCAGAGGATGGAGCATATACCTAAAAGTTCATGGGTCTATGTATATGACTACAAGTTCACACTTGCATGGAACCCACTCTACTTGATAGATATCCAATTTACCATTAACAATTAGTAACAAACTTATGGTAGCTAGCTCTAATTCATACCCTAGCCTTGGTGGGTAAAAACTTGTCAGATACACTAGTTTATTTCAGATATACTCAATACTTATTGCTCAGCTAAGAGAAATTGAAATGGTAGTAAGACTTGCTATATATGTATTAAGTCTAACCTATCTAATATTTTTTTAATAGCTATTATTTTGGTTCCTATGACATGTTGTGTTTATTTTGTTTGGCATTAAACCACCACAAAATATCAATCATCTTTATATTAGTTGGTCGAAATTGGGTGGCCACCGTCACAATCACCTATTATTGTCTGATGCATGAGCTTTTTGCTAGGCAATTTAGATCACAAGGAATGGCATGGTGTTTGATAAAGGCCAACCAAAAACTTTTTTGCAGGTCCTTTTCTGGGAGCCACACTGATTTTGATTTTGGGCTCTATACAACGCTTGGAGGAAGACAGAACAAATCTCTAGGCCCGTAGGCTATTAGATCTAATGGATGATCTTTTAGTACTATCCTGGATTCTAGTTTCAAACCTATAACAAGTTTAAATTCTTGGTGTGTTTGTAATAAGCGTGGACTGATGTTGCTTCTTTGAAGAAAGCGAAGGTAGAATTTTCTACTATCTAAAAAAATCTATATATAGTCAAGAATAAAAAGGCTTTCCAATTGCATTGTTCCTAATGGCTTACGCTTACCACACATCATCGGCTAATGGTCGAGTGACCATCTGCCTTGTCCATTTATTTTTCACAACATTGGTGTTTATAGCTATGAGAACAATCAATTATCCAACTCAGACCTTTCTCCATTGAATATGTACTATATGTATCGATATTTAGCCGTGGAAGAAACCCACAGACCACACAATGTGAAAGAGACTTATCAACACTGCAAATAGGAATAGGCCCAAAGTTGCTCTCGAACAGGCCATGGACTAGGTAGTGGCATCGACTGCCTGAATTATTTTATTGGCAACAATTGCGACGAGCGGACATAGCGAGGGCCAGAGTAAGTTTTTTGTGGGTTTGTTGCTTGATGATTGAAGAGAAATGAGCTCACCGTCAAAACTAAAAAGAATGCTGATTGAACCGTGCAGCAAGGCTCAAGCAGAGTAACTACCTACCTCATTCAGACATGCAGCTGTGGGTAACAAAGCCAAGGTGATTCAATTTGGTAAACATTTAGGATAATCAAAACCATAGAAATGTTGTAGTACATTATTATCTTCTCGATCTTCACTCTTTTATTTGACTTGTATAATTGGATGAGTTGATCTATCACCACCTTATTCTTCCATAAGCTTATAGATAACTAGTATAAATATAAGGGATAATATCATTCTATTAAATTGGAGGAATGGACCAAACAATACACCATCTCATCATGAGGTGGTTCCTCAAGAAATCAAACACCACATTAATCTTGGATATAACTCGTGGCACCAAAAGTACTTTATTTGAACAATCAATTTCCTTGCAATGCTCATGTGAGACATATCTAAGGACCTACCTAATTAGATTGAGGAGTCACTATCATCACCGCAAGATGTAGCCCCACTATTGGTACCATCTTCAGTCTCAACTTTGGCATGACTCAAAGGAGAAGCATATTTGGATGGTTCCACTTCCACCTCTTTTTCTTTCTTTGGATGGTTCCTACAACGTCTCTTGCCACGTGACGGGCCAAACCCGTTGTAGTAGGAGAAGCCCTCGGTTGCATCGTAGTTATTGGCAAGCTTCTTCTTTTGTAAGTTGGAGCTGCTGGAGGGCTTGGAGGCTATTGTTGGTACTACCACCATCACCTTATCTTTGTCCATTGGAGAAGCAAACTCTAGGTTCAAGTAGGAACGCTTCTTCATCAAGTAGTACTCATAGAGGAAGTTGGGGCGGCTTGCATTGTTAGAGCACTTCCAACCCTTGCCATCATTCTTCTTTCACTTCTAGGTCTGTGTTGCCCCTTCCTCACCCTCCTATTTCTTCACATTTGCACTCTTTTGGGTCTGTCCCCCTTTATTCTCCTTCATTGTAGCCTTCTTCAGTGTTGTCTTCTTCTTCAGTGTTTGTAGTTGTGCTCTGTCACTGCTAACTGTGGCCATGGCCATCATCTCTTTATTCTTCATGGAGGTGACCGGCATGCTAGCTAAGGAGATGTGGCATGCACAGGAGTCCATATTGACATGGTAGCTATCAATGAGGTCATCCACCTAAATGGAGAAAGGTAAATAAACAAAATAGAAGCATTGTCATCATCATGCATAACAACAATGTTCATCCTACTACTTTGCCAACATAGGGGACATAGAGATCTAGAGTTTGATAATGCCACCACTCTTGTGATTTCAATGTTTCCTATATAGCCTGCCTAAATTACCACAAAGAAAGACTGAAAGAGTAGATAAAGTAGCATAGATCCAAGCCAGGCAGGGGCCCCTCCTATCAATATAGTCTGCTAGCCTCCAGCTTGAACCTATCAACCAAACCTAGAGACAAAAATAAACCAAACCCCAAAAGCTGCTAGAACAATAAAGACCTCTCAAAAGCATTGCGCTTGGGAAACATGAACTTCGCATAGAGCCACCAAGAGTGGAGTATTGGTTACACAGATAGAGAGAGAGTAGGAAGATATGTTAGGAGAGAGATACTGACCTAAGGATCGGAGAGGGAGAGGTCATCCAAGAGGTCCCATGGTAATCGACTGAGCTTGCAGGGACCCTCGAGGGTAGTAGCAGGGCTCAAGAAGCCGCCAAGATTGTGCGATATGAGTTGCACCAGACATGGTTCCATGATCAGTGGTGGCGCTAGGAGCATGGGAGGCAGAGCTGCAAGTGGAGAGTAGGCGGTGCCAAGGAGGTGAGATGTTCTCCTATGAATCTGCTTGGTCAGGACAGAGGAAGAGGAGAGCAGATCTGGCATCCTCAGGACACTAGGGTTTGTGATTTGGGTGGGAAGAAGTGGAAGGGGTAGATGTTGAGGAGGAAATAGGAAGGTTCTCTTGGCTCTACTTTTCTTTAGGTTCCTGACTTTCACGTGATGTGTCTCCTGTTACTAGATGAGAGTGCACTTACTCACTTGGACTGGTAAAACTAGCGGCCCATTCATATTTGTGGCTCATGGGGTCCACCACTTAGTGACTCACACACTACTATAATCGCACCTTTCACAGCCATGTTGTAACCCACATCGTAGTCCAATTTTGCCCTCGGTAGTAAGCTGTCGACGGTGATGATCATAGCCTTCACCGTTGACATCTGGGACCGACTACGGTGTACACTAACACCATCGATTGGCTTATGATCCATCCGTGTTTAGGTCCTTACTTCAGTCGCATTGGAGCATGACCCGGTTGTGGATGTACACTAACACCACTGCATTGGCAAATGATACGACTGTGTCGAGGCTATCAAAACCATCGTGTGGGCACATCAACCACCTGTGTAGTGGTCACCAGCACCGTCGCCCTGTACTTTGACCCGACTATCAGCGGTGCGGGTTCACTATCGGTTCGATGGCCGAGACACCTATGTAGAGGTTAACACCACCGTTGCTTCAGCGTATGATCCGCCAGTACAAAGGTCATGGTCACCATCGTATTGCACCACGATCTGCCTTTGATGATCGTTTAGTCAGTGATGGTTACTAAATGATTCAGTGGTGATACACTTTTATCCCTGCCACATAATACGTATACTGATGGTGTTGGACGTTTGCACCACCAATGGCAGTGGTGATAACAAAACAATAAATGACCCTTAATAGCTTACTAAACGCAAAGCATACAAATATAATTATTGCATCCATAAACCATGTTCTTACAATAACAATGGACGCTTACCATAATATCTTTCTTAGCTGATGTCCTAACACAAGCGGTACATAGATTACAAACTAAAGGTACCGATCTCTATAGGCTTACATGACGTAGCTATGCTCCTCCTATGTGGCACTCCTGCTTGCTAGGCAAAAATGAATATAATTAGTGCATCCTACAAATTGGTAGGCAATGCACCATGGAACCCCTCTTCTTCCTCCTTGCCAATGCAGGAAAATTATTCAAAAGCACTCAGACTCCACCTACACAAAGCAGCACAATTAATAATATTCAGCACACCATTCCCTTAATTACAAAGCCCAAATTGGCCTATATATAGAATCAAAACAATTACCTACCTGAACAAAGGCATGATGTAATTACAATAAAATACAGCATATGTACCTTTACTGCTCTGCTAATGACTCCATGAACAAGGGAACATAAGGAAGATAGTGAGGTCCGCTGCTCACACATAATAGTTTCTAGGTACTTCTAGGATAGTCGATGGCCTGGGCAGAGAGGACATGAACTTTACTGTGGTTCATGTCATATGCAAGCAGTGATTTGTCGTCCCCAACAAGGAAAATCAAATTCCATTTTCTATGAACTACAATCACTCTGTAGGCCGCATCACAAACCTTGGTACCAATTTCAATATTCTTCTTTCCAAATAGCTCCAGCATGGTCACCTTATGCTTCAATATCCATTTACTATACCATAGTCTTCAAGGATCCAGATTGAAAGCTCATACCTATTCAAAGTATCAGCAGTACATAAACATAACTGACCCTGAGCTTCATGGATGGAGATTGCATCACCAGTTGTCCTACGAATTTTCCTCCATGTCTTTCCCTCCATATCAACAGCAACTATCTCTAGGTGAACTCTAGCATGTGCATAAAACCATTAACAAACATACCTTTCCCATATGTAGATACTACAATACCCTTGCCCTATTCAGATTCTTTAAAGATCCATGCTCCTATTCAATGATGATGACTCCTTAGGTGTCAACATCTACTCATCTAAAACTGGAGCATGGAAGTGCGAGGAGACTGTCGGATCGAACCCCAAGCGAGTTGAACCACAAGAATGGTTGCTACCCGGCTGTAGCAATCATTTCTTAGTCATCGGATTGCAGACAACATAGTAAAACCCATAATACCAGAAGAGGATGAGGCCCTGAGGGCAATCTGAGATCACGACATCCTAAATGGGGAAGGGCAAGAAGGACAAGGAGGGGTTTCACCGTTGATGCTGGTGAAGTTACGTTTGCATTTCCAACTGTGGTAGAAGAATCCGGTGAGAATCTAGGGTAGCTCCTTACGGTACTAGGATCCCAAGATGAGGCTATTCCAGGAGCGACAGACACACTTGTAGCTACACAAGGAGCGGGCGGTGAGGTGGCCGAGGATGAGAACCAAGACATGGTCTGTGAGGATGGCCACTTCATTCCTCTTGTTTGGGGCCTCCTCCTCCATCTTGACGAGGATCTGGTGGAGTGAGGATGGTGATGGAAGCGGTGATGCTGTCGCTGAATTAGAGAAGGAGCGACTATGGAGATGTGTTCATGAGCTCGTTAATAATCAGATGGAAGCTTCATTCATACTCAGATGAGTGAAGAAGGGAATAAAAATTTAAGAACGATGCATAAGGGAAGTGCGAAAGCATTACCATTGCCTTTGGATCTTGTGGCATTGAGCTCGAGCGGCGACGATGGTGATGAGTACCACCCTAGTCACCGGTGGATCTGTGTTGTCTCACTACCGGTGAAGCGTACTGGCGTGGAGCACTAGCTTGTCGGCGGTGACTGGCGACTTGCATGCCCCTGAGTATGGGTGGTCACATAGTTCAGCACTAGGGAGCAGGGGCAGTGATGAGAAATAGCAGCACTGAGGAGGATTAAGATACGGTGGGGAGCGTCCTTTGTAAGCAACTATATCAGACGCAGAAATGCAATTTTTTGCAAAACTTTGTAAATACGTGTGGGAGTGACGCGTAGGACTCACGCGCGGGCTTGGAAATTGATGAAACCGGCAGTGAAGGCTACCGGTGGTGATGATTGGGAGATGTTAGCACCTACTAATGATGGACGTGTCATACGGTCTACGAACTCTAAGGCGCACAAATGAAACGTTCAAGTCACAGCAAACAGAGATGAACTCAAAGTAATAACTACTAATATTATGAACATTTTTATTCAGAATATAGAGGCATGTTACAATCGAACTACTCGTGGAGAGTATTACGAATGATGTCCTCTACATCCACCGCGGCCAGGACACCATCGCCCGTGGCGGAGAACTCGCCGATCAGGTTCTGGCGCTGTCGATAGCTCGTCTCTCCCGAGAACCTCGGCTACACCACGGTCAGGTCCTCACCCAGCCGAAGCTAGGCGGTGGCCATGGCCAAAGTGGCCCCTAGGCGAATGTAGTATGTGGCCACCTCCAGAACCCACAGTGGCATGGTGCGGAGGCGAAAGCATGCAGATAGTGTTGCCTACTACCGCATGGAAGGTCCTGGTAGCGCATGTTGCTCTCGGTCGCCATCCGAGAGGAGACATAGCTACCTGGTGAAGGTGGATCGCCTCCGCCACCTCGCCCTGCGCGGCAATCAGCTGCTCCTAGACGGCTAAAAAGGAGACAAGAAAACGCTACAACTAAAGACACGGCGTCGCACATAGTGAAAGAGCGAGATCATATCGCGTCGAATGCCTTACCAGCGAGGCGTGCCTGGGCCTCGATGGCAGCAAGCTCCGCCACGGCCGTTTCCCGCTTCGCGGCGGCAACAGAGAGGTGTAGCCGGTCCGCCTCCTGGCTCTCCTCGTGAAGGGCGAAGGTGGCCATGTCTAGATGCTCCACCAATATGAGGACATCATCCGCACCCCCATCGTCGTCGTCGGAGATAGCCAAAAGCGAGGATCGGCTCTCCAGTGGCGACATCGCCGAGCTGCCCTCCCCATCTCATCGTAGCATCGCACGAAAGTGGGGATGAGCAGGGACAACCTCCATCGACTCTTCCATTGGGCGCTTTGTTGCCTGATCCAC